AAAATTTCCGGGATCCCGGGTCGGGATTTTTTTCCTGACCGATGCCGGGACGGGATCCCGAGGGATAAATCCCGAAAAAATCCCGGATCCCGAATGATCCCGAAAATCAAAAAAATCCGGGATTTCGGGATCCCGGAAAATCCCGTCGGGATCCCGTCCCGCGCCGGTCTCTAGTTTAAACCATATTTTCACTATTTTTTGCTGCATATTTAGTGCATATTTTGGAGAATTTTGCATATTTTGGTGCATATTTTGGGGGTCTTTTGGTGCATATATATGCGCATATTTGGCGATTTTCAGTGCATATTTTGGACACCTTAGTTATTAACATTTTGCCTTTTATTTATTTATTTTCGATCCTTTTAAAGGAGTACTTTTTTTTTAATTTTGAAAATTGAAAATAAAATTTTGACTACTTTTTATGGATCATATTTTATTAATAAATTATTTTGAGTTTTCATTCCTCTCCTCTCTTCCCCAAAAAATACCCCCATTTTCTTTTGCTTTATTAATTTTCATCTTTTTTATATTCATTTTAGTAAACCTGCCAGTCTTGATAGGTTTTTTTGTTTTCAGTTTTATTCAAAACTAATATTAAAGGATTAAATATTGAAAAAGAAAAATAATTTTTAATTTTAAAAATTCCAAAACATTTAATGTTTGATTCCATTTTCTCTTTTGCTTCTTCTGCCTTTTTGCGCATTTTTTTCAAAAAAAAATTATTTACAAAATTATTTCCACGAACTTGCTTTACCCACAAAACCGAAGAGTCATTTAAATGTTTTCTCAAATTGATGCTTATTTTCTTCTTCCTATATTAGAAATAATAGGGGTTATTTATAAATAATTTAAATTACTGTATATGGTCGAATAATTACTCTGGGTAATTATGTTTCAACTCTTGCTGAAGAGTATAATTGAAAGAGCGTGGATAGTTATTTAAGAGAGTGTAAATAATGCTCAAAAATTATATGCTCAATCAGTTACCATGTTATGCTCAAACAGTTATTCTTCCAATAACTGCCCATTTATTATCTCACGCTAATTTTGAAATATTTGAAGAATCTATTATCTACTATTCCCATTATCTACTATCCAAAAATTATTTTTGGGCATATCTTGTTTATGGTCGAAATCTGCTTCGACCTTAAAATATGGTTTGATCGAAGAGACCACGTGTTTATTATTGTTCTAAAATAAATCAAATTTTTTTATCCAGGCAACAATTAGTTATACCTCATTTACTAACGACAGTTTTTTGGGGGCAATAACAAAAATCGAATTTCAAAATAATTTTTTAGGCAATTTCGATTCAATATAAAAAATTTGTATAAAATACAAAAATCCGATTCATAAACTGAGTTTTTATGAACTTGTGTGAATTAATTAAATCGCGAATGTGATAAATGTGATAATATTCTTGTGTCCGGATCAGGATCACCCGGTCAAAGAATGGGACGGCTAACCATAGAGTTGTCGAGGTACTGTTTCCTTTCCCTTGGCCAAAGAAGGCTGGGGGATCGGTTGAGTAAGATGCAACCTTTTGCACACTGTTGTTGGTCCCACGTGGAAAATAGAGAATGAAGTTGGGATTAGTGGGGTTGACTTCTTCAAAGAGTTTTTCAAGTAAGTTTGCATTACTGAATAGTGATGAGAAATGTTGAAGGATCGCGAAATCGATATAGAAAAAGAAGGAAAAATTGTTGCCTAACTAATCGATAAAAGATAAAAAGTTTTTTATTCCTATAAAAAATGTGGGAAATGATTGGAATGTGACCACGGCAAAAGGAGGCGAGTGATTCACGTGCACACATAAAAAATAAATAAATACATTTATACACAAAACCACAAGGGGTGTCCGCGACACCTCATATGTGATTTATAAGGACTATTTATCTTCTATTAATTGATTATCGCTCTTATTAAGATCTTCGGAGCTATTTCTGTGGTTCTTAGGGGTCCGAAATCGGATTTATAAGGATTATTTATCTTCTATTGATTGATTATCGCTCTTATTTAGATCTTCGGCGCTATTTCTGTGGTTCTTAGGGGTCCAAAATCGGATTTATAGGGACTATTTATCTTCTATTGATTGATTATCGCTCTTATTAAGATCTTCGGCGCTATTTCTGTGGTTCTTAGGGGTCCAAATTCGGATTTATAAGGACAATTTATCTTCTATTGATTGATTATCGCTCTTATTAAGATCTTCGGCGCTATTTCTGTGGTTCTTAGGGGTCCAAAATCGGATTTATAGGGACTATTTATCTTCTATTGATTGATTATCGCTCTTATTAAGATCTTCGGCGCTATTTCTAAGAACCACAAGATCTTCGGCGCTATTTCTAAGAACCTAAGAACCACAGAAATAGCGCCGAAGATCTAAATAAGAGCGATAATCAATCAATAGAAGATAAATAGTCCCTATAAATCCGATTTTGGACCCCTAAGAACCACAGAAATAGCGCCGAAGATCTAAATAAGAGCGATAATCAATCAATAGAAGATAAATAGTCCCTATAAATCCGATTTTGGACCCCTAAGAACCACAGAAATAGCGCCGAAGATCTTAATAAGAGCGATAATCAATCAATAGAAGATAAATTGTCCTTATAAATCCGAATTTGGACCCCTAAGAACCACAGAAATAGCGCCGAAGATCTTAATAAGAGCGATAATCAATTAATAGAAGATAAATAATCCTTATAAATCCGATTTCGGACCCCTAAGAACCACAGAAATAGCTCCGAAGATCTTAATAAGAGCGATAATCAATTAATAGAAGATAAATAGTCCCTATAAATCCGATTTTGGACCCCTAAGAACCACAGAAATAGCGCCGAAGATCTAAATAAGAGCGATAATCAATCAATAGAAGATAAATAATCCTTATAAATCACATATGAGGTGTCGCGGACACCCCTTGTGGTTTTGTGTATAAATGTATTTATTTATTTTTTATGTGTGCACGTGAATCACTCGCCTCCTTTTGCCGTGGTCACATTCCAATCATTTCCCACATTTTTTATAGGAATAAAAAACTTTTTATCTTTTATCGATTAGTTAGGCAACAATTTTTCCTTCTTTTTCTATATCGATTTCGCGATCCTTCAACATTTCTCATCACTATTCAGTAATGCAAACTTACTTGAAAAACTCTTTGAAGAAGTCAACCCCACTAATCCCAACTTCATTCTCTATTTTCCACGTGGGACCAACAACAGTGTGCAAAAGGTTGCCTCTTACTGCAACCGATCCCCCAGCCTTCTTTGGCCAAGGGAAAGGAAACAGTACCTCGACAACTCTATGGTTAGTCGTCCCATTCTTTGACCGGGTGATCCTGATCCGGACACAAGAATATTATCACATTTATCACATTCGCGATTTAATTAATTCACACAAGTTCATAAAAACTCAGTTTATGAATCGGATTTTTGTATTTTATACAAATTTTTTATATTGAATCGAAATTGCCTAAAAAATTATTTTGAAATTCGATTTTTGTTATTGCCCCCAAAAAACTGTCGTTAGTAAATGAGGTATAACTAATTGTTGCCTGGATAAAAAAATTTGATTTATTTTAGAATAATAATAAACACGTGGTCTCTTCGATCAAACCATATTTTAAGGTCGAAGCAGATTTCGACCATAAACAAGATATGCCCAAAAATAATTTTTGGATAGTAGATAATGGGAATAGTAGATAATAGATTCTTCAAATATTTCAAAATTAGCGTGAGATAATAAATGGGCAGTTATTGGAAGAATAACTGTTTGAGCATAACATGGTAACTGATTGAGCATATAATTTTTGAGCATTATTTACACTCTCTTAAATAACTATCCACGCTCTTTCAATTATACTCTTCAGCAAGAGTTGAAACATAATTACCCAGAGTAATTATTCGACCATATACAGTAATTTAAATTATTTATAAATAACCCCTATTATTTCTAATATAGGAAGAAGAAAATAAGCATCAATTTGAGAAAACATTTAAATGACTCTTCGGTTTTGTGGGTAAAGCAAGTTGGTGGAAATAATTTTGTAAATAATTTTTTTTTGAAAAAAATGCGCAAAAAGGCAGAAGAAGCAAAAGAGAAAATGGAATCAAACATTAAATGTTTTGGAATTTTTAAAATTAAAAATTATTTTTCTTTTTCAATATTTAATCCTTTAATATTAGTTTTGAATAAAACTGAAAACAAAAAAACCTATCAAGACTGGCAGGTTTACTAAAATGAATATAAAAAAGATGAAAATTAATAAAGCAAAAGAAAATGGGGGTATTTTTTGGGGAAGAGAGGAGAGGAATGAAAACTCAAAATAATTTATTAATAAAATATGATCCATAAAAAGTAGTCAAAATTTTATTTTCAATTTTCAAAATTAAAAAAAAAAGTACTCCTTTAAAAGGATCGAAAATAATCCTCGATTGCAAAAAATCCGCAAAAAATTTGCGGACTCCAAAACAGTATCAATTAATTCCAAAGCTACTTCATGTCTCGTTTTAAGGATTTGTTGAAGAAATACTTTCTTTTCTTTCGTTTTTATAATCCAGAAAGCTAGTGTTTCTAAACATATTGCCGCCACTGTACATAAATGGAATAAAATTTAAAAAAAATTTTTTTTAATATTGTAGGAACGAAGGAAAATTCAGTTTACTACTCTGGGATTTAGGATCTTTTATTAAATGATAAGTCGAAAGCATCGCCCTTGTAGCTCAGTCCGTAGAAAACCTGACGTGGTGAGCGAAAGAGCTTAGTCTCGCTGCTAGGAGTCTGTAAGATCGATGCATGTGGAACTAAAAGTTGTTTTGAGACTTGTTAATTTTTGGTCTTGGTGTCATGTCTTGCTCTTGAAGTCTAATTTTAGTCTCGAGTCTTGGGAATTTTTCGGTCTTGGACAGCTCTAGAGATTACTATAAAAGGCAAATAAACCTGATAATATAACACACCTGTAATCTACGTATCTTCAATTTTCTTCGAAAGCTCCTGTGATGGCTTCTGTCACTTTCTTCGTGCGGTTTGTGGCTATGATGTTGGTTGTATCCATTGTCTATTGTCATTGGTTTGCGTGGGTTGGGCATGGCAAGCATAAAATCGAAAATGGGAAGCTTGTGAAGCTGTTTGGAAACACAAAGATGGCCGAGAAACCTGAGGATCTTGTTTTCTACAAAAGGATGCCGGGTTCTTGTGATGATGTTGAGATGGATGGGGACGGAAATATGTAAGTGTACAGATAACGTTAATCGAAAATACTTTCATTTAACAGAACTATCTGGTACTCTAAAAATTCCAACACAGCTAAGGAAGGATGCACGATTGATTTCGCCACGACAGATGGCAGCACCTGGGAAACCTTTGATTTCCCAATGTATTTTGGTATCCAACACAATAAAGAACTGAAAGATTGTCTGGCGGATGTCAGAGAAGATGATGCAGCGTTGGCATATAATCTGTTAGTTTTATTGAGAAATTTGGATAAAATTTTAATTTTTAGGTTGGCCTTCTCTTTCAGTCTGAAGAATAGCGAATTCGATAGGGTTACAGGAGGATATGCGGAAAGGCACAAAAATTTTTGTGGTGATGTATCGGATTGTTATGCAAACAAAGGCAAATGCTTGGATGTTGCTGATCATTCTGTTGGGTGGGCTCGAGATGGAGATAATGTCACAAGCATAATTCAGCCAAGTGAGGAATTTTAGAGTATTGTGACATACTACTCGGATCTTTGTTTCCGGACCGATTCGGACAAATAAGGTGTCATTCGAAAAAGCTCAGAAAAATGAGTGGAATTAGGGGTGGGTAAAGTTGATCCGACATTCCTTGGATGAATTATATGAAAAATGGAAAAGTGGAGGTGAACTTACTTGACCATATCTCGGTCCAGGAATGTTTTTAGAGCATTAGAATGCACCTCATTTGTCCAAATCGGACAGAAAATGTCCGAAATGTTATTTTCTGGATTAACTATTTTTAACAATGATGATGTTATTTTTAGTTGGCCATAATGCGCATTGGATATGCAACACTCAAGAGAGTCATAATAGGCGTGAGATAGATGCTCTTTATAGACTTGATAAGAAAATGGATTTTATTTTTTGTGGTAATTCCACTCGCACTTACTCTTGCTTCAAACGTGAAAATCTTCGAATACCTAAAAGATGGAGAATAACGGATCCGGACCATACCGATGGATACTATAATTATTTCTTCTCCTTCCACATTCTGCCAACAACTTCAATGCAAGCAAGTATGCAGAATATATGGTTGAATTGTAAGGAAAATTCGGATAAGGAAAATTGTAAAGAGAATGCGGCATTCCAAAAGTGTGACAAAATGTTTGTGAAATTTGTAAGTTGTGAATTTTTAAACTTTCTTACCCCAATGAAAGAAAGCACCCCTAAATCTCTTATTTAATTAAGCCATTTTTTGTCTACAAAATGCTCGTTCCTGATAATTCAGTCAAACAACCGCCTACAGAAGAAACGACAACGATGGCTACCTGTCCGCCTTGTGTGTTTCGCTGTCCGAAAGTTGATTGCCCGCCTGATACCAATATCTTGCAACCACAAAATTCAACTGAAAAAGTTGAAATAACGCCTCAAAATGGAAGTAATTTGCCTGGAGTACCGTCAACTACAAAACCATCATCTAAAGATGATTGCTACAACGATGGGACTAAAAAGGATTCAAAGAAAACTTTGCAAATTACTCTCGTTATTGTTGGCTCTATAATATTGTAAGGATTTTAGGATTTTTGGCCAAAAATTATTTTTTTAATTTTTAGGCTTATAATGTTCACCGCTCTTCTCATCTGTCTATTCGTCAGCAAAAGCAAATAAAAGGAAAAGATTCTGAATTGTTGGATAAATATAATAATTGTTGTGATATGTATTTGTTATTTAATATAGGATGTTCTGTTATATTGTGTATTATATTGTAGTTAGTATTGTAATTGTGTAGAATAAGTTGTAGTATATCCAGTCATAACTTTAATAAAATCTAGTTATAACTCTATTCGAATTATAGATAAGGTGATTAAATCAAGCCTACATAATAGAGACAATATTTCACTTAAGAATATTTTAGTTTCTATAAATTTTTATGTCGTTATAGGGGTAAAAAACTTAAAAAAATTTTTTTTATTTTTGGATAGGAGGTAAAAATATTTTTTTCACAAAATGATTTAATTCGGCAATCTGCCAATAATTCAAAGGGTAATCAATTTCATTGAAAAATATTTGCGCATGCCCAAGTACTTCCCTATGACTTTTGTTTACTCAAGTGCTTTCACTAGACAGTCATTCGTCAATCATTCACATCCTCAAAACTTCCGCTTTTCCACCCTATGACTTGGTCATGTTATAATTTCGGAAAGGATAAATGAAAGAGGGATTCTCTTCCGGTTAACAAATAAAATAAAGTGGATATTAGGGTTGTTCACTACCGGTTATTAACCGGTACCCCCGGTTTTCGGTTTTGGCCGGTTTACGACCCCCGGTTTTCGGTTCCGGTTTTTGATTTATCCCCGGTTTTTGGTTAACCGGGACCGGTTTTTGGACAAATTTTCATCCAGAATATCCCATTAAGATGTTGTCACATTCTAACGCTTTTAAATAAATATTCGATACACTAAAGCTGAATAATTTACAAATTTCAACAATTCGAGGAATTAAAGGGTATATGGCGAGATAAAGTTGGCTGATTTTGAATATTAGGAGAGTAGAGCGATTAGGGTATATCGCTGATCGGGGGATTAAAAGGATGAGAAGTTATCAATAGATTGATGAATAATTGTGATTAAGAGGCCTCGTCGAAAGATTTGTACGTCCGATCATGGATTTGAACCTCACCCCACAGAATATTAATGTGAAAAATCTTCATTTTTGCGCCGCAGGCGAAAATTTTGGAAGGCTTCTATATGAAATTTCTTGCCTTTTCGGAAAAGGTCAAAAAGGGGCAAAAGGGGACAATGTAAAAAGAGGACGAAAAAATCAAAAAGGAGCAAATGCCCCCTAAAGTTGGCAAAAGGGCCACACTGTTGAAAAAAGGCCACACATCAATTGATTTGAATGGATTAGATTTAAAAGTGTGATTGCCAAAATGGCCAACTCGGACCGAAAGATATATTCACGAAAAGATATCTGGCACGAAAAAAACTCGTATAGGCCTGACTTGATAAAAACAAGCCCGAAAAAAATGACTCGACCGTCGGCTGAATTGAAAACGGCAGCCCTATTTCAAAGGACCTTTATCGAGTAAATTTCATAACTAAACCACTTAATCACACATTTCATGTAATAAAACTGAAAGAAATTATATTTATCGAAGAAGAAAATGAAGGAAATTATTTGGCGAACTATATTTTGGGAGTTAAAATGTCCTAAAAATACAAAAAATTCCATCTTTAGGGGTGTATCTTTAAAACCGAAACCGGGCGGTTTTGGTCACCGGTTTTCGGTTATCGCCGGTTTTCGACCCCCGGTTTTCGGTTCCGGTTAATTCGGCAAAAACACCGGTTAACGGTTCCGGTTCCGGTTCGGTTAACCGACCATGAACAACCCTAGTGGATATGTACATAATAGAAGAATTTTGTTGTGGTTGCTAGAAGAGGTTAGAGAAAAATATTCCAGAAATATTCAGGAAATATAAACACATTCCGGAAAATACATTATCAGGAAAACAATAAATACACACATTTCCGGAAAACACCAAAAATACATTCCGGAAAACACAATTATTTTCTAAACTTTTCAGGAGAACAATTACGGAAAAATACAAAATTAAAACAAAAAATACAAGACATATAAAGGGGAAAATACAAATGATGTTCACGTGTATTTCAATAATATTTTTAAAAAGCCTTTACAAGTGCAACAACGCGCAACTCAATTTTCATTGAAATACATGTCGGAAAACCCTCAAGATTTGCTAGACGTCTCATGAAAAAGGTCAACCCATGCTTATGGTCATACAATTAAATATTTTTTTGCCTTTACCGCCCAACCAAGGCGCGTATATATAATGTATTTACTTGATTATCAGTCAATCAATCAAATTAATTCAAATTAAAAAATCTCCTCTCCAAAAATCTACTACTCTCTTAAATCTTCCTTTCACTCAAAAAAGAGAAAATAAAATTAGAAATAATGTTAATTACCTCAACAATACTACCCTTTAAAATATTTGCCATACTGTTAATTTTCTTCATTCAACAAATCACAGGGATGGTTGTATCTCAGGGAGGAATCTTGCCCAAGCCCTTAAAAATGGAATCTCGAACCATTTTTGCCCCAAAGTATTTTTCTTAATAAAATTTTTCTTTAATTCCTGAGGGTCTAAAAAATAAAAAAAAATTTTTTCTTAACAAAGATCTGCCCCATTCTCAAGCTTGTCGATGCGGAAAATGAATAAAAACCCGAAAATAATGGCTACATCAACCGACAACCATAAACCGGTTATTGATACGGCAACTAATAAAGGTATAATTTTAATAAAAAATTCCTAAGATCGGAAAAATTTTGTTTAGAAAAAGTTTCGGTTGATAATAAGGCTTTTGAACCAAAATACATTAATGGATTTGTAAATAAATCGGTTGATACTAAAAACGAAACGCTTCAAGTTGAAAAGCTTAATGTGGATGGAGGTGTTAAAGAGGAAAAATTAAGCGTTCCGAGTGAAGAAAAATTTACTGAATTTAATGAAAAATTTAATTTGGAAGGAAATTTGGAGGGAGTAGATGGAAAATTAATGAAAGAGGAAGAAATGATTAATAAAAATGAGGAGGAAGAGTTGAAGAAGAAGCAACACCATTTGAGGAAGGAACAGGAAGAAAAGTGTGGAGAGAAGGGAGAGAAGTCTGGAGAGAAGGGGGAAAAGTCGGGAGAGAAGGGAGTGAAGGAAGATTACAAAAAATATATAACCAAAGAAGTAAAAAAATTGACTAAAAAATTTTTTGGTTCTGAAACTACTACCACCACCAAAACTGAAGAAAATGTTTCATTCGTAACAGATTTAATGATGGATATCCCTCAAGGTCCAGAACGTGAGAATTTTAAAACAACAGCGGCAGAATTAGCTTTTGTTTTAAATCTTTCTGATAAAAATACTCCAGAGAAGCTCTGGTCACTTGTTGGAGTTGAAAAAGGAAATGTAAGTTGAAGTATATGCTCAACTAATTGGATAATTATTGTCTTACCTTTCGCAGTAAGGGTAGTTAATAAAGAAAATATAAAAATCTTTTTTGAATACAATGATTAAAAAAGTCGGCTATTTGCCAATAATTCAAGAGCTAGGCATAATTTCATTGAAGATACCCCCCCCCCCCCATGCTCAAGTACTTCCCTTTTATTTAATCAACTGTTTCATAGACAGTCATTCAGTCAGTCATTCACATCCTCAAATATGCTCAACTAATGGGATAATTATTGTTTTAACCTCTCGTTGTAGGGGCAATTAATAGAAAGGGTGTGCTAAAGTTGAAGTGGATCTCGATTAAATTTATTTATTTATTAGCATTAATTTTTAAACTGTTCAATTAATTAAAGTTGATAAAGATTCTTCAAATATTTCAAAATTAGGGGGAATTATTTGAGAGTGTAACTATTTGAGCATACCGTATATGCTTAATACTGAATCAGCGATACTTAATCATCCCCCAAACATTCAAATGGTGGGACCATACTATTAGAATAAATATGTAATTATCTTCTCTCAAATAATTATTCACGTTCTATTAATTACCCTCTCCAGATAGAAGTTGAAACAATAATTACCCAAGGTAATTATTCGAGCATAGACGTCAATTAGAAAATATTTTCAAAGAAAACCCCTTTTCTCTAATACAGGAAGAAGAAAATTACCTTCAATTTGAGAAAACATTTAAACGACTCTTCGGTTTTGCGGGTAAAGCAAGTTTGCCACTTATCGTCAATTTTATCAAAAAACAAACTGAAGCTGAAAAAATGCGCAAAAAGGCAGAAGAAGCACAAGAGAAAATGGAATCGAACATTAAATGTTTTTGAATTTTTTAAATTAAAATTACACATTTTATTTTTCAGTATTTAATGCTTTAATATTAGTTTTGAACAAAACTAAAAACAACAAAACCTATCGAGACTGGCAGGTTTACTACAATGAATACAAAAAAGAGGAAAATTAATAAAGCTGAAGAAAATATGGGTAGAAGAGAGGATTGAAAGACCAAAAAAAATTTTTAATAAATTAAAATTTGTAGAAAGTAGTCAATAAACATTTTTTTAATTTTTAAAATCTTAAAAAAGTACTCCTTTAAAAGGATGGAAAATAAATAAATAATTTATGTTAAATTGTACAAATGTATAAATATGATAATTTTTGGAAAGTTTAAAAATAAAAATTCGAACAATGAGAGTTTGAAACCGTGACCCAATTTTTTGGTCTCTTATCCACCCTTAACTAAGTTCAATTCAGCTATGTCCATTCTTTTGCCTGGGCTGGTCTAATGACCTGATAAAGATTTCAATCTCGAATCCTAACCATTTTTGTCTAACCCGGTCCGAGATCCCAAGACAAGGTGCTTGTCTGATTATGAGACAGGCACCTAAATTTTCAAACCCCGAAGGGGTCGAAGTCCAACTTTTGGTCTAAAATTAAAAATATTTTACTCAAAGATTAAAGTTTCTCTTTTTATGACTAAGATACTAAAAAAATCTTTTTTATGACTGAATAAACAAAATAAATTGTCAAATAAATGGCCAAATAAAAAAATAATTTTATTTTTAGAAATCAATATTCAATATAAAATTATCCTTCATTTAAGCAAATAAAAAATTTTCTTTCTAATTTTTTATCCACCCCTAGAATTTATTTAATAAAAAATTAAAAAAATGTCAACTAATTTTCCCCAAAATTTTTTCCAATTTTTTACTCAAATTTTCTTTTTTTATTCCCTCATTTCAATAAATTCAATAAATTCAATGGAAGGAATTGATTTATTTCAATTAACAACTCTCGACGATTTTAATTGTTTAAAAGAAAAATTATCGGCTAAATTTGTAATTATCCGTGGTGGACGTTCTGTTGGTTTAGTCGATTCCAATTTAATTAAAAATATTAAAAATGCTAGAGGAGGAGGATTTGAGGATGTTGATATTTATATTTTTCCTTGTGTTAAACCCGAATTAATTAAAAATATAAATAAAAATGTTACGTGTGGAAATGCTAGGTAAGCTTTAAAAGAAGAGGAATATTTTTAAGTAATTTTAATTAATAAGTTAATTAAAAAAAAATTTTTTTTTAATTTTTTCTCAAAAACAATTTCAAAAAACAACCAAAAAAATTTAATATTTAAACACAGTTCAATTTATTTTTTCTCGGGTCCACCTAATATTTGTGAACTCAGTACATTTAATTACCTACTAGCAAAATTTTTAAAATTTCGAAAAGCACATTATCCTCGTTCTTTACGAGATGAAAAAATGAGAAAATGTGTCACATTCAAATGCTTATTCTTTTATCTCATTTTATTTTTTATGTATATCTTGTAACTATTTTAAATATACTAAATATACTCAATTTTTTGTGATATCAAAGAAATACATAAAGTATTTCGTCCTAAATTTAGCGCTTAAAACTAATTTTGGTATTCTAGATTAATATTCGGATTTTAAAAAATTCACAAGTCCAAAAATTACAAGAATGCATGAGAAATTTCTGAAGGTTTACGCGATTATTAATACTGTAAAGCATGTAGCTATTTAATTCCTAAGGCTGAGCAGTAGGCGGCGTGGTGTAATGGCTAAACATCAGTCCGGTCTACTGAAGATGCTGGTTCGCTCCCAGCCGCCGAATAATCTTTTACTCTAGCTAAAGGAGAGAAATAGCTATAGCCCAGCTGCTTTACTTAATTTAATTTTCCCCTTTTTAACCAAATGAACTTTTAATAATAATTGAATTTGGAATTAAATATCTTGTACATAGAACGAAGTTTAATTTAATTTTTGGGAGCATTCTTGTTAAAATTTAAAGACAAAATTTTTTAAAATTAAAAACTTCATTTTAGAATAGACAGGTTAATCCATCTCATCGAAAAAGATTTAAAAAATTAATAAATATTTTCTTTATTTTTAGAGAAACAATAACTTCAGTTCTTAATGAATTAAATTGTAATAATTTAAAAATAGGCAGAGTTTGGTTAGATATTGAAGGCGAACCTGGGGAAAATAATAAAAATCAAACTTATTATTGGTATGAAGACAAGGAAAAGAATATTGAATTTATTGATGTAAGGGTTTTACTCATTGTATATCCGAACCTTACTACCACAATTAGATTTAGAAAACCGTATTGAATAATGAGAGATACTTCTGTAGGTAGCTTACAGTCCACGACCAATCTGAGCATGGGTCATGAATGTAAACGTGTGCAAGAAACCCAGTTACCTAATTCTAAATAAGACCGAAGGCATTTTTTATTGATGTAAGGAGGGATTTTTAAAATATATTTGGACCTCAGATATCCAATTAGATTTGGAAAACCGTATTGAATAATGAGGGATAGCTTCTGGAGTTAGCTCATAGTCCACGAACAATTTGAACATAGGTCCTGAATGGAGATGTGTTGCTCAAGACCCTGTTAATTCTATGAAAGTTTAAAGGCTTTTCTTTAAAAGAAATTTTTTCCTAATTTTTCCTACCCTCTTTCCTTTTTAATGTATTTCAAGGAAAGAATTTTTCTAGTTTACGAAAAAATCAGAAGACGCCTTCCTCTAAAGCCACTTTAATTCCTCTTCAAAATTATTTTTATTCAAAAAAATATACATATTTTCAAAGGGAATGATTAACATATTAAACGAAAACAATCAACTTTTTGGTATTTATGCATCAAAATATTTTTGGACTAAAATTACAGGGAATGAACAAAAATATTCCTCTCAACAAAAAACATTCCTTTGTGGTATGCCCATTATGATGGAATAAATAATTTTGATGATTTTTATTCAAAATATTCTTTTGGTGGTTGGAATAAACCTTTTATGAAACAATATTCTGATGAAAATTCTGAGAAACAGAAAATTTGTAATTTAAGTGTTGATTATAATTGGAGACCTTCTTAGAGAAGAGAAAGAATTTGTGAAAAATTGAAAAAAAAATTTTAAAGTGACAATAAATTAATTTAATTTTTTGATAAAAATGAGAATAAAAATGGAAAAAAATATAAAAATTTTATATGTAAAGTTTTTATATATTCCTATAAATCACCCAAATTCCCTCTTAATCATTTACTTACATTTATCCTTTAATTGCACTGACTCACTTTAATGTTTAGAAAAACACTTCTTCTTAGACTTAATGTCCAAAACCAACAACAATATTAAAATTCACGAAAATCGAAAAATTCCACAAGTCCGTCAGTACGACCCAGCAAATGTCTGTTTGCAAGTGCGGGTCCACAAAAGTCAACTGAACGTTTGTAGGAGCTCTGCAGAACTCCAGTCCCAAAAATTATTTAAAACAGATGTATTAACGAGCTCTTAATTAGCAGAATTTCTTTACACTCAAATAAAAAGAAAAATATTATTTTATATATTATGCATTTATTTTTGCTATTTTTCCATCAAAAAAATTTTTTTAATTTCCAGTTTTATATAATTTAAATTTCCCCTAATCTGAATTCTTTTGTAGAATAAATGTCTGTTTTTACATATTTTTAAGATAAAATGGAGAAAATTAAATTTAAAGTAAGATGATTTTTTGTGGTTATTTAACCAAAAACTGATTATTACAAGTTGATTTATCAATTTATATAAGACAAACAATAAATCTCTTAATTTAAAAGGAAATTTATTTATTGCATAGACTTCTACATTTTTTTACTAACAATAAGTTGGAAGTAAAGCAAGTAATAGTAAGTCGTTAAAGATCCAGAATTACAAATCAGTAAATCTATATGCAAAGCTAAATGTTTATCGAGATATGATAATTTTTAGTATAAAAAGCAGATAAACCAGATAACGTAACACACCTGTAATCTACGTATCTTCATTGTTCTTCGAAAGCTCCTGGGATGGCTTCTGTCGCTTTCTTCGTGCGGTTTGTGGCTATTGTGATGTTGGTTGTATCCATTGTCTATTGTGACGTGGTTGGACATGGCAGGCATGAGCTGGTCAACGGGAAGATTGTAAAGCTGCGGGGAAACACAAAGATGGCTGAGAAGCCTGAGGATCTTGAACTTTACAAAAATATGCCGGGCTCATGTGATGTTGAGATGGATAAGGACGGGCATATGTAAGCAATTTTAAATCTCCTCTTAAACTCAAAACATTTTCTCATTTAACAGAACACTCTGGTACCTTAAACATTCCAACACAACGAAGGAAGGATGCTCGATTGATTTGGTTGTGAGAGACCCGAACTCTGAGTTCCCCATGCGGTTTGGTATCCAACATAATACAGAATTGACTGATTGTTTGGCGGATATGAGATTTGATAGGCAAAGAGAGAGTGCCGACAATATGTCAGCTATGACATCTAATTTGTTAGTTTAATTGGAAAATTTCAGTAGTTTAGCCCCCCCTTTTTTTCCCCTGTTTCCATGACCATTTTGAGACTAAATATTGCTAAAATTTAATTTTTAGGTTGGGCTTCACTTTCAGTCTGAAGAATGGTGAATTCGATAGAGTCAAAGGAGGATTTGCGGAAAGACACAAAAATTTTTGTGGTGATGTGTCGAAATGCAAAAATCGCGGAGGCAAATGTTTGGAGGTCGGTGATCACTCTGTTGGATGGGCTCGAACTGGAGATTATGTCCGAGTTAATATTCAACATAGTAAGAAGGACTTTTATTCTCAAGATATACACTAGAATTATGATACTAAAATTACTTTTTTTTAGTTGGCGAGACTAGGATTTGGAGTTGTAACTCTAATATAGCGCATAATAAGCACGAGGCAAACGCTCTTCATTATTTTGATAAGGAATCGGATTTTACAAACTGCATTAAAACTCCGCGCGATTACTTTTGCTTCAAAGAAGAAAGTGTTCGCAGACCAAAAAAATGGAGAATTACGGATGAGGACTATACCAATAAAGAATACAGTAGCCTCTTTACTTTCCACATTCTTCCGATAACTTCTATGCAAACAAGCATGCAAAATGTTTGGATTAAATGTGATGAGGATGCGGATAAGGAAGATTGTAATGAAAATGCGGCATTCCAACAGTGTGACAAAATGTTTGTGAATTTTGTAAGTTGGGAAGTAAAAAAGTAAAATAACCTCTCCTATTTAATTAAGCCACATTTCGTTTTCAAAATGCTCGTTCCTGATAATTCTGTCAAACAAACGACTACGGGAGTTAGTGAAACGACAACGATGGTTACTTGTCCAACTGTTACCTGCGATCCTTATGTTAACTGTCCAGCTATTGACTGTCCTAGTGTTTTTGGATGTCCGGATGTTGACTGCCCGCCTTGTATTATTGACTGTCCGGCAAAGAAGGATTCAAAGAAAACTTTGCAAATTACTCTCGTTATTGTTGGCTCTATAATATTGTAAGGATTTTAGAAGGATTTTGGACTGAAAATATTCTTTTAATTTTTAGGCTTCTAATGTTCACCGCTCTTCTCATCTGCCTATTCGTCAGCAAGAGCAAATAAAAGGAAAGGATTCTGAATTGTTGGATAAGTATAATAATTGTTGTGATATTTGTTATTTAATATAGGACATTTGTAAATTGTATATTATGTACATAGTAGTTAATTTAATATTTGTTGAAAATAAATTAGAGTTTTTAACGAAATTCTCGAAATTATTCAAAACTTATCGTTCCCTGTCTAAAATTTAAAAATCTTTACTTAACATGAGTATAATGAACTTTATCTTATCCTCTTAATTTTTTATATCTAGATTCGACTATTTATACAATAAAGCTAACTAGACTATAGTTGTTGGAATCAACGGCTGGAAGCGAACCAGAATCTTCGGTTTATTAAACCGAACAACAGTTTATGCTTTAAATCAGGGCTGTGCGTCATGGCGTTTTGCGTTTCAAAAATTTCATTCCGGCGGTAAAAAAAGGATGAATTCTGGCTTCTGGGAATCTTGAAAATTAAAAAAATTTCGCCTGCAGCGCTAAAATGAGATGAACAGTGATTTTTAAGTCTTTATAGACTCTAAAAATTTTGGCGTTTGGCGTGTTTTTAAAATTTAAAAAATTGGCGTTTGGCGCGCCACGCGAAAATTTTGGCGCACAGCCCTGCTTTAAATAACCCCCTAATTATTTGAGTCAACTCCCAGCCATTTTTTATTTACCTCCCAGCTCACATTAAAATATTTTTGGCAGCTTTTAAATTGTTATATCAAGCAAATTTTTTATTACCTAGCTATTTTATTACATTATTTTTTTTTCTGAAACGTCGTGTCCGTGCGTATAAAACTTTATTTAAAATGTTATTTATATTTTTGTAAATTAAAAAAGGTACATTTTATGCAAAGTTTAATTCAAATATAAATTAATTAAAGAATTTTATTAAATTAATTTTGGGAATTTTGAATTAATTTTGTGGAAAAAAATATTTTTAAGAAATACCCAAAGAAATTTACCCTTTTTGGGACCCTAAAAGAAAATTTTGCCGAATAAAAAAAAAGATTAAAGTTTGATTAAAAAGATGAATTTATAAAGAGTTGAATATCCCCAAAATAGTGTGATTCAAAATAAATTCCAATGTTCAGTAAGGGGGTGCGTTTATAGGGGGTGCGCACGCTTTAGTCTGATCATTGTTTGGGACCTGCATATTTGGATAAACATTAGTTTGCTTTTTAACACATCTTCCAGAGCAACAGTCATTTGCTGAATTACAATTGTTAAAAATAGTTGTGCATTTTGTACATTTAGAATTAACACATTTATAACCATAACAACACATGTAGCCTTTATCATCACAAAAATTCCCCTCTTTAACACAACCAGCTTTGAAGCATTTATATTGATACTTTCCATCTCCTATTTTGGAATTTTTACAATTTAGCCCTGGACAACATGAAAAAAAGTTATCGCAATTTTCTCCTCGATTTTGACAAAATTGTAGTTGACTTGTATTTAATTGAAATAATACAAAAATTAAATAAATAAAAATAATTATTAAAATATTTATTGAAGACATTTTTAAGAAAATTTCCTTTTTTTGAAAAACTTGTGAATTGAATAATTTTTTATTTGGAATTAATTTAATAAAAAATTATTTTGAACGGCTTTTAAAGGGAGAAGAATCAATTTTAGCTCGTTTTTCCTCATATTTTTTGCCACATTTCTTAAAAATATTTTTTAAATAATTTTTAAATTTATAAATATTTATTGCCGCTCTCTACACAAAAATTGAAAAAAATCTAAAATTGCTTAAAATTTTTAAAATTATTTAAACAGCAGAAAATAAATGATTAAATTTAGAAATTAAATTTAAAAATATCAACTGAAGAATTAAGCTAAAATTGATTCTTATTTTTTCTGTTAGATATCAACGAACAAAACGAAAGAAAATAAAATTTAAAAATAATTTATTCAAAACCAAAATTACAGCAAATTTTCAAGTTTAAAAAAATTATTTATCGAGATGAATTATTATGCTGAATGCTCTCTTATTCTCTTAATCTACCGAAATCCCACTTAATCCCTCCAATATCCATCCCAAACACCCTCTTAATCACTTCTAATCCTTCTATATCCCTCCATGGGGACTCAACTTAGGGGACTCAACAATTAATTAACAATTAAAAAATTTATGGTGGAGTGAGCTTATTTTTGAAGGTGGACTTATTTTTTTGATCGTCCTCTAGAAGGGGCTTATTTTGGTGGGTGGCCTATTTTAGAGGAAATACGGTAATTTATTCAAAACCTAAATTATAAATCAGCAAATTTTTAAGTTAAAAAAATTTATTTTTCGAGATGAATTACCGTATTTACTCTAGTAATCCCCCAGTCTTTATTAATTCACCGGTCTCTATTAATTTCCCACCCTGGGGAGGGTTGAAACAATAATCCCCCTGGGGAATTACCAGAGTAAATACGGTATGCTGATTAAGGTCTTTCTTAATCAGTGATGCACGAAAATTCTTGTTACGTTTGAAGCTTTATTTCCTATTTTATTTCGTTTCTTGCTTCATTGAAAAATTATTTTCGCGAGTTTTTGTTTGGTAAATTGTCATTTTTGGAGTAAGACGAGCGAAAATTCTGTGTATCTTTGCGAAAATTTTTTGAGTTTATGCTGTATTTTTAAGCCAAAAATATTGGTGAAATGGAAAAGATTAAGGGTAATTTGAAGAGATGTCGGAGGATTAAGAAGGATATCAGGTGTTTGGAAGGAATATGGGGACATAAGGAAAAACAGAGGCTTTGTATGGATTATGGAGAATATCGCGGAGATTCTTTGATATCGCTAGAGCTCCCTCCTAATACCTAAATATCTCCACCTAATCATATTACCCCCACATTTTTTAATTTGTAGGCTCCTAAATAGTTTTACGAAGAATAGATTAGGGTTGGGGTTGCCGTTTACAATTAGGGTTGCCGTTTTCGATTTGAGCCGACGTTCGGTGCATTTTTTCGAGCTTTATTTTTTCGATTCGGTTCGTTTTCGAGTTTTTCAAGCTGAGAAGCCTCGGCTCGCTCGATCTTTCGAGTTTAGGGTCGAGCGAGCTGGCAACCCTACTCCTAATGTTGACTTCTTTCTCTTATGTCTATTCTTCGTAAAATTAGAACTAACATGTCTTTAAAAGAAAACAAAATTCTAAATCAGTAAGGTATGCAAATTCTTTAGTATAAAAAGCGGATAAACAAGATAATGTAACACCTGTAATCTACGTATCTTCATTTTCCTTCGAAAGCTCCTGGGATGGCTTCTGTCGCTTTCTTCGTGCGGTTTGTGGCTCTGATGTTGTTGGTTGTCAGCATTGTCTATTGTGACTTGGTTGGGCATGGCGGGCATGAGCTGGTCAACGGGAAGATTGTAAAGCTGCGGGGAAACACAAAGATAGCCGAGAAACCTGAGGATCTTGAACTTTACAAAAATATGCCGGGCTCGTGTGATGTTGAGATGGATAAGGACGGAAATATGTAAGTGTACAGATAACGTTAATCGAAAATACTTTCATTTAATAGAACTATCTGGTACCTCAAAAATTCCAAAACAACGAAGGAAGGATGCTCGATTGATTTTGCCATGCCTGATCTTAGCGCCAGAAATTTTGAATTTGAGTTCCCCATGTATTTTGGTATCCAACACAATAAAGAATTGACCGATTGTTTGTCGGATATGGGATTTGTTGAAAATACAAGATTAGACAATGAGTCAGCTATTACTTCGAATCTGTTTGCTCAAATGGAAAATTTTCATTAAAATTCTAATTTTTAGGTTGCCCTTCTCTTTCAGTCTAAAGAATGGCGAATTTGATGGAGTCAAAAGAGGATATCCGGAAAGACACAAAAATTTTTGCGGGGATGTATTGAAATGCTATAATAAGGGAGGCAAATGCTTAGATGTTGCTGATTATTCTATTGGATGGGCTCGAAATGGAGATTATGTCTCAAGTACAATTCAGCAAAGTGAGAAATTTTATTTTCTCTTTGACACAGTCGGAACTTAATTGTACGACCTTCCACCCCGATAAGGAAAGACCAAGATTCCTCGAATCGGTCCCCGCCTCGTAAAGTCGCACACTACAAGCGAGATCCGACTTAAAAATTCCGCTTAAACATTTTTTTCTCTTTAGTTGGTGAATATACTTATTGGATATGCGATAAAGGTATGGAACATACTAAGCGTGAGATAGTCTACCCTCATTATTTTGATAATGAAATGGAGTTAACATCTTGTTTAAAAATCCCGCGCAGTTACTCTTGCTTCAAACGAGAAAATATTCGCGAACCAAAAAGATGGGAAATTAAGGATAGGGACCATACCGATACACTCTTCAATCATCTCTATACTTTCCATATTCTTCCAACAACTTCAATGCAAACAAGTATGCAAAAAATTTGGATTAAATGTAATGAAGATGCGGATAAGGAAGATTGTAACGAAAATGCGGCATTCCAACAGTGTGACAAAATGTTTGTGAAATTTGTAAGTTGGGAAGTAGAAAAGTAAAATAAACGCTTATTTAATTAAGCCGTATGCCGTTTACAAAATGCTCGTTCCTGATGATCCAGTCAAACAAACGACTACGGGAGTTGGTGAAACGACAACGATGGTTGAATGTCCGCCTTGTGTTATTAGCTGTCCGGCTGTTAACTGTTCGAATGTTATTCAAAATTTAACCAAAAAAGTCGAAATAAAGTCTCAAAATGGACCAGAGACTAAAAAGGATTCAAAGAAAACTTTGCAAATTACTCTCGTTATTGTTGGCTCTATAATATTGTAAGGATTTTAGAAGTATTTCTGGCCAAAAATTATTCTTTTTAATTTTTAGGCTTCTAATGTTCACCGCTCTCCTCATCTGTCTATTTGTCAGCAAAAGCAAATAAAAGGAAAGGATTCTGAATTGTTGGATAAATATATAATAATTGTTGTGATATTTGTTATTTAATATTGGATGTTTTATATATTGCTGTATATTATATTGTATTTGATAATTGTGTAAAATAAATTGTAATTTTTAACATAACTTCTCAAAACTTTGGCTTCATACTAAAATTTCTCTCAAAAATTATTAAAAAAACAAAACTGAAAAATTTTTCTCTCTCTCAAATGTTTTTTTCAGTCCACCCAAGATACCTTAAAAGACATTTTGACAATAAATTATTGTGTTCAATAACATTTTGATTTAAATTGTTATTTATATTTTTGTAAATTAAAATAAAATTAAATTTTTTCAAATAAATTTATTAATTGAAGAATTTTATTTAAAAAAGTGACTTTTTTTTGAAAAAATTAATTTAATAAAATACCCAAAGAAATTTAAGAAAATTTTGCAGAAAATAAAATTAAAGTTTGATAGAAAAGATTAATTTATAAATTTAAATATCCCCATTATAAAATTAAATAGAAATTATATTGTTGTTGACGCAAACTTTATTTGGACTTCCAGGTAGCCCAGCAGAACCTCGAGGTACACCTACTTGAGGTATTTCGTCACATATTCCAGAGCAACATTCATTTGGTCCATTACACTTTAATTTATCAGTTGTGCATTTTGTACATTTATTATCAACACATTTATAACCATAACAACAAATTCTGCCCTTCTTAACACAAAAATTCCCTTCTTGAACACAAGGAACACATTTGAAATTAGGTCTGCCATCTTTTATTACGGCAAGTTTACAATTTAGCCCTTTACAACATTTTGAATTGATATCACAAATTTGTCCATATTTACTACAAAATTGTTGACATGTATTGAATTGAAATAATACAAAAATGAAGTAAATAAAAATTATTAAAATTATTATTGAAGGCATTATTTTTGAAAATTATTATTTAGGAGAGCTTCTAAATTTCAGTAATTTTTTAATTTGTTCTAAAATAACAATTAATTTGTATGTATAGAAAATGTAAAACAATAAATTTAAATTTTTTAATAAAATAATTTTGAAAACTTGTTTTTAGTTATATGTAATTAAGAACTAAATTTTTAGAAGCCTAAATTCAAATTTTAGGGCGTCTCAGCTGGGACACGCTTCTGCGCGAATTACTGTAAGGATGATTCACCCAGCAGCATTTAAAACGCTTAGGCGGGGGATAAACGATCTAAAAAGGAAAAAGAGAAAGCATTAGTCGATGCCCCGGTAGCTCAGAGGTAGAGCTCATGCATATAGTGAGCGAAAGCCTAGCAACAACTAGCAGATAATCGCAGGTTCGAATCCTGCCCGGTGGCTAAACTTTTGCAAACTCTTTCTTTACCGTATTACCTTTAATATTAATTAACGTATTACCTTTAATTAAATGCTTGCTCTAATATTATGCCCTCTTTTTTAATGATAAAATTTTAAAATACCAATTTCAGTTTTTCAATTATATAAGTAATTGATTTCAGAGGCATCATAGAATTTGGAGGTGATTTGTTATGTTTTATTTCGGGAGAATAAGGGGGATATCTATGGGGATGAGGGATTGATAGGGTTTAGAGTTTACAGCGAAAAATACAATGCCCCCTCTATTTGAAAATGCCCCATCCTTTAATAGATGCACCTTAAGAAGGTGACTAAAAAGGTGAATGCCCGTTTATTCTATTAGAAGTAATACGGTATTTAATAGAGTTCGACAACAGGTCATTCGATACCCGGTTCAGAACAAAACCAAAAGCAAAACAAAATCAGAATATGTAAGAACAAAATTCCCCCTTTTATAAAGTTTCGAGAGCGCAGTGTTGGGCTTAACCATTCCATCAAATTAGGTATGCCTCTTCTATTTGCAGCAAGCTATTGAAACGTTTGAATTGAAGCTTGTGCATTTAAAACGCTTGTGATGTTCTTTATTAAGAAAATTATTAAATAAAATTTTAAAATGAGTGTCCAATTCATTTTAAAAAATCCTTTTTTAAAATGGAGGGAGAATTAATTTTTGGTAAATTCTTTTGCGTCAAAGGAATTTACTTATTTTTAGCTGCTTAACCAAAAATTATTCCCAACAACTTTAAATTTTGAGCAAAAGCCAAAACCTCGCCTTTTCCAAGCATAAAATATACAAATAAAAATTTCTAAAAATGGTTTCGGATTTTTAAAAATTAATTTTTTATTATTTAAACAGCAAAATGAATGCTTTTAAATTTAAATAAAAATTTGAAAATAAATTTTTAAATGCTTCTTTTTTGGCATGTGACAGGGAATATTTACAATTATAATAAGGAGGTAATCTTTAACCTTCATATTATGAATAAATTTTTATAATATTCTATTTTAGTTGTATACGAATGTTACGCTTATGCTAAATAATCTCTCTTAATGCTCTCTTACTCTCTTAATCTACCAAAATCCCTCTTAATCCGCCCTATATCCATACCAAACACCCTCTTAATCACTTCTAATCCTTCTTTATCCCTCCATGGGACTCAACTGAGGGGACACAACAATTAATCAACAATTAAAAATTTTATTGTTGAGGGAGCTTGTTTTAGAAGTGGGGCCTATTTTAGAGGAAATATGGTAATTTATTCAAAAAATCAGCAAATAATCAAGTCAAGAAATATATTTATCGAGATGAATTATGCTGATTAAAGTCTTAATCAGCGATACACAAAAATTCTCGTTTCGTTTGAAACTTTATTTCCTTTTTTCTTTCGTTTCTTGCTTCATTGAAAAGCTATTTTCGCGGGCTTATGTTTGGTAAATTGTCATTTTTGGACGAAGACGAGAATAAATTTAATATTTTTGAGAAAAATTTTTTGAGTTTTTGAGAAAATTTTTTTGAGAATTTTGTATTTTTAAGCCAAAAATATTGGTGAAATGGAAAAGATTAAGGGTACTTTGAAGAGATGCCGTAGGCTTAAGAAATATATCAAGTGTTTGGAGCGAAAATGAGGATATAAGGAATGACAGAGGATTTGTATGGCTTATGAGGAATATCGTGAAGATTCTTTGATATCGCCCTAGATCTCTCCTAATACCTAAATAGCTCCAACTAATCAATTACCTCAACATTTTTTAATTTGTAGGGTCCTAAATTAGGGTTGCCGTTTTCGATTCGAGCCGACATTCAGTGCATCTTTTCGAGCTTGATTTTTTTCGATTCGATTCGTTTTCGAGTTTTTCGAGCTGAGAAGCCTCGGATCGCTCAATCTTTCGAGTTTCGGGTCGAGCGAGTTGGCAACCCTACTCCTAATCTATTTGTCGCAAAACTAGAACAGGTCTTTAAAAGAACTCAAGATTATAAATCAGTAAGGTATGCAGATTCTTTAGTATAAAAAGCAGATAAACCAGACAATGTAACACACCTGTAATCTACGTATCTTCATTTTCTTCGAAAGCTCCTGGGATGGCTTCTGTCACTTTCTTCTCGCGGTTCGTGGCTATCATGTTGTTGGTTGTCAGAATTGTCTATTGTGACGTGGTTGGGCATGGCAAGCATGAGCTGGTCAACGGGAAGATTGTAAAGCTGCGGGGAAACACAAAGATGGCTGAGAAACCTGAGGATCTTGAACTTTACAAAAGTCAACCTGGTTCTTGTGATGTTGAAATGGACAGGGACGGAAATATGTAAGTGAACATACATATAACGTTAATCGAAAATACTTTCATTTAACAGAACTATCTGGTACCTCAAACATTCCAAAACAACGAAGGAAGGATGCTCGATTGATTTTGCTGTTCCAGATCCTGCCGTCATAAAAAACAAATATGATTTGAATATGGATTTTGGTATCCAACACAGCAAGGAGCTGACCGATTGCTTGATGGATGTTCCATTCGATAAAGAGGATACCTTCAATTACTCAGCCATTGCTTCAAATCTGTTAGTTTTATTGAAAAATTTGTGTAAAAATTTAATCTTTAGGTTGCCCTTCTCTTTCAGTCTGAGGAATGGAGAATTTGATGGAGTCAAAAAGGGATATGTTGAAAGGCACAAAAAGTATTGCGGGGATGTATCGAAATGCTATAATAAAGGAGGCAAATGCTTGGAAGTTGCTGATTATACTGTAGGATGGGCTAGGACTTTAAAGTATATCCGAAGCATAATCTATCCAAGTGAGGAATTTTATTTTTTGGTATTTTTATTTCAGTGAAGGCGGGCACTCAACGCTTAACAGTCGTCTTTGTCGAGTAAATACATATTTATTTTTTAGTTGGTGAAACTGAGTTGGAATTAGTTGAAGCGTCATGTAGTCCTATAACGGAGCATAAGCATGAGACAGAAATTCATTATTACTTTGATGGAATGGGTTTTAGATTATTTTGTGAAGAATCCCCAAAAACATACTCTTGCTTCAAACAAGAAAATGTGCGCAGACCAGAAAGATGGGAAATTAAGGATGAGGACTATACCGATACATTATACAATCATCTCTATACTTTTCATATTCTTCCAACAACTTCAATGCAAATGAGCATGCAAAATATTTGGATGAAATGTGATGAGGATGCGAATAAGGAAAATTGCAACGAAAATGCGGCATTTCAACAGTGTGACAAAATGTATATTAAATTTGTAAGTTGGGAATTTTTTGTTGAATAAATTCTTATCTTTCCTTATTTAGCCACGTCTCCTTTACAAAGTGCTCGTTCCTGATAATTCAGTCAAACAAACGACTACAGAAGAAACGACAACAATGGCTACCTGTCCACCTGTTGTTAACTGTCCGCCAATTGTTGAATGCCCGGATGTTCTGAGGGGGATTAGCATCCATGGCCATTATAGCTTTACGGAGCAAACCTATTCTCGCTTCAGCATGATTGAGCACCCGCGCATGGAGCCAAAACGACAATCCAGCTTTGTGGGGAGCTGTTTCCTGGTTTTTGGGGAAAGATTTAAGGCCTTCAAACTCACTGTATTTAAGTCAGTGGATTATTCTATTTGGGCATTTCTGGAGCAAAAAGTATGCCGAATCCGATTCGCAACATCGGAGGAACTAATGTTGTTTTGGAGCGAGCCTGGAACGAAATAACCGATGAACAATGCGCGACCATTGTTAGTAACATCCGTAAGTGTTTGGATGCGTGTATTTCAGTCAGGGTCGGTCATTTTGAGAAATTACTTTAATAAAATGATTATTATATCCTATTGATTATATTTTATCATTTTTTAATCTTAAATAAAAATTTTTTACAATAGATTTTATTAAAAACATTTGTCGCCGAACTTTTGCCCCACCCTGTATATTTAACGTCTGATTTTTCTTCCCAAAATAAAAAAAACTGACTGTTCTGTTCTTTTAAAACTGACTGTTCTGTCTAGTCATTAATTTAATTAGCCACTAGAGTAAGAGCGAGGTAAAAATTTAATTCCGGGCAGGAATTAATCCTGCGACCTCCATCGATACCTTTTATTACATTTTAAACCCCCGTCTTAAACCCCCACATATGATCCTTTTCTTCCTTACACTGAAACTCTCAACGCTTGACAGTCGTCTGTTTTAAGTAAATATTTACTTTTTAGTCGGTGAAACTGATTTTTCGGCAACTGTTCATATAACGGAGCATGATCAGCATGAGGCAGACGCTTACTATTACTTTGATGGAATGGGTTTTAGATTCTTTACAGAATCCCCGAAAACATACTCTTGCTTCAAACAAGAAAATGTTCGTAAACCAAAAAGATGGGAAATTACGGATGAGGACTATACCGATAGAATCTACAATCATCTCTATACTTTCCACATTCTTCCAATAACTTCTATGCAAATGAGCATGCAGAATATTTGGATTAAATGTGATGAGGATGCGAATAAGGAGAATTGTAACGATAATGCGGCATTCCAACAGTGCGACAAAATGTATATTAAATTTGTAAGTTGGGAATTCTTTGTTAAATCAGTTTAAAAAAACTCTTAATTAAGTACTCTTTTGCCTATAAACTGCTCGTTCCTGATACTTCAGTCAAACAAACGACTACAGAAGAAACGACAACGATGGCTACCTGTCCACCTGTTGTTGAATGTCCGCCTTGTGGTACTGACTGTCCGACTGCTGGCTTTCCTATCAATGCCATACAACCTGGAAATTCAACCGAAAAAGTCGAAATAAAGCCTACAAATGGAAGTAGTTTGCCTTCACCTGCAAATGATTGCCACCAGGGCTGTGCGCCAAAATTTTCGCGTGGCGCGCCAAACGCCAAACGCCAATTTTTTAAATTTTAAAAACACGCCAAACGCCAAAAATCGGCCAAAATCAACGCCAAAACGCCAAACGCCAAACGCCAAAATTTTTAGAGTCTATAAAGACTTAAAAACCACTGTTTATCTCATTTTAGCGCCGCAGGCGAAATTTTTTGAATTTTCAAGATTCCCAGAAGCCAGAATTCATTTTTTTACCGCCGGAACGAAATTTTTGAGAATTTTGGAGGCAAAGAAGCCGGAATTCATCCGTTAAAAAATCTTAAAAAATAAGAAATTTATAGAACTCCTTGAGATTAAGGTGGATATGAAGGGATAAAGGGAGTAATGAGTATAACAGAGGTCATGAAGAGAGTAACCGATTGATGGGACTAAAGTTTTTTTCTACCATCTATTAGTTTAAGATCCTCCTTTAAGCGCCGCAGGCGAAAATTTTGAAAATTTTGGAAGTCCAAGCAGTAGATTTCTTCATTTTTTATGCGCCGCAGGCAAAAATTTTGAGAATTTTGGATGACTGTACGCAGAAAAATTTCCTTTTTCGATCATCCCTTTCTGCATTTATTAAAAAAAATTCCATCATTAGGGGTGTATATTTTTGGCGTTTGGCGCGCCAAAATCGGAAAATCACGCCAAACGCAAAACGCCAAAAATCGGCCAAAATTAACGCCAAAACGCAAAACGCCAAACGCCAAACGCCATGACGCACAGCCCTGATTGCCACAACGAGGGGACTAAAAAGGATTCAAAGAAAACATTGACAATTACTCTCGTTATTGTTGGCTCTATAATATTGTAAGGATTTTAGAAGGATTTTTGGGCCAAAAAAATATTCTTTTAAATTTTTAGGCTTCTAATGTTCACCGCTCTTCTCATCTGTCTATTCGTCAGCAAAAGCAAATAAAAGGAAAGGATTCTGAATAGTTGGATAAATATATAGGAATTGTTGTGATTTATTTAATATAGGATGTTCTGTTTATATATTGTATTGATATTGTAGTTGTGTAATAGATAAATTGTAGTTTTTAAAAACCCTCTCGAAATAACATAAAACGTGCCTGATTTAAAATTTCTCTTTAATTATCACTGATTAAAATTTCTCTTTATAATGACTCAATTTAAGGAAATCTTAATAGACATTTAGTCAATGTAAAAATGCAAAAGCTCGATTCAGCCTTTTTAGTTAGGACAACCTCCGCCTTCCACATAATTCGGCTTTTTACCATCCGCTTACAAAAATACAATTAAAAAAATCTTTCCCACTTATTTGTTAGGTTTCTTATATTTCTCTTCCAGATGACTTTTTTAGCAAAAATTTTTGGAATTTTGTTAGACAAGTAAGCCAGATTTAGTAAGAGATTGGCAAAAGTGTAGCCAACTGGCATGATTTGAAGATTCGATTCGTAGTTACTGCTAGGCGATTTTGATCAACATTAGGGTTAGCTGTTTCACTAAATTCTTCGGTTAACCGAAACAAGGAGAAAATATGTCGAGGATTTTTTAGATATATGGTAATTAGGCAGTGAGGTCTAACATTTAGGAGGTCTAACATTTAGGAGGGCTAACATTAAGCTACAGGGTCGACGACTAATGCGTTCTCTTTCAGTAGTCGTTTAACCAACTCTAAAGCGTTTTAAATGTTGCTAGTTGAATCATCCTTAAAATTTAATTTTTCTGAATCACAGTTGAAAGTTTTTGTTAAATATTCCCGAAATTTTTAAGGTAAAATTTTTTCTTCAAATAAAAAGTCCATTTGAAAGTAGAGCCCGGGCGGAGGGCTTGGTCGATATTTTTACGTTAAATATCGAAAAATACCGAATATCGAAAATATCATTTTTACAATATTTTTCAGTTTAATTTAAATTTTTTTAAAAGTTTTTCTTCAAAAAATCAAGTACCAGTAATACTGCGGTAGTATCGAACCGTCCAAACACTTTTTCGTTTTAATAAAACTGTTATTTTGGAAAATGCGTTAAATTTGAATTTAGAAAGAAAAATACACAACCGCAGAAAAATAATTGAAATAGAAATTCTGTGAACGGTGAAATCTGCGGGCAATTAAAATAGGGCCCAGAATTGGAACCAAAATAAGTACGAATGAGAGCCCTGCTCTATTCCCATGTTTATTGAATAGAGCTCTGCTGATTCCATCAGCACACCTATGGGAGGATTGAAAAATAAAATTGGTACTATTAGAGTTTTACGGTATATAGATTTCTTAGTATAAAAAGCGGATAAACCAGATAATGTAACACACCTGTAATCTACGTATCTTCATTTTTCTTCGAAAGCTCCTGGGATGGCTTCTGTCGCTTTCTTCGTGCGGTTTGTGGCTCTGATGTTGTTGGTTGTATCCATTGTCTATTGTGATTGGGTTGGGCATGGCAAGCATGAGCTGGTCAACGGGAAGATTGTAAAGCTGCGGGGAAACACAAAGATAGCTGAGAAACCTGAGGATCTTGAACTCTACAAAAATATGCCGGGCTCCTGTGATGTTGAGATGGATAACGAAAATATGTAAGTGAACAGATAAAGTTTAAAAACAATTTCCACATTTAACAGAACTATCTGGTACCTCAAACATTCCAAAACAACGAAGGAAGGGTGCTCGATTGATTTTGCTGTTCCAGATCCTACCATCATAAAAGGCAAATATGATTTGCTCATGCATTTTGGTATCCAACACAACAAAGAACTGAACGATTGCTTGGCGAATTTCATATATTTTGGTAAAGTATCACTCTACAATTACTCAGCTATTACTACAAATTTGTTAGTTTTATTAAAAAATTTGGGTAAACATTTTAATTTTTAGGTTGTCCTTCTCTTTCAGTCTGAAGAATGGCGAATTTGATGGAGTCAAAAGAGGATATCCGGAAAGACACAAAAATTATTGTGGGGATTTGTCCAAATGTCATAATAAAGGAGGCAAATGCTTGGATGTTACTGATTATACTGTGGGATGGGCTAGGGCCTTAAAGTATATCCGAAGCATTATCTATCCAAGTGAGGAATTTGATTTTTTGGTATTTTTATTTCAGTGAAGGCGGGCACTCAACGCTTAACAGTCGTCTTTGTCGAGTAAATACATATTTATTTTTTAGTTGGTGAAACTGAGTTGGAATTAGTTGAAGCGTCATGTAGTCCTATAACGGAGCATAAGCATGAGACAGAAATTCATTATTACTTTGATGGAATGGGTTTTAGATTATTTTGTGAAGAATCCCCAAAAACATACTCTTGCTTCAAACAAGAAAATGTGCGCAGACCAGAAAGATGGGAAATTAAGGATGAGGACTATACCGATACATTATACAATCATCTCTATACTTTTCATATTCTTCCAACAACTTCAATGCAAATGAGCATGCAAAATATTTGGATGAAATGTGATGAGGATGCGAATAAGGAAAATTGCAACGAAAATGCGGCATTTCAACAGTGTGACAAAATGTATATTAAATTTGTAAGTTGGGAATTTTTTGTTGAATAAATTCTTATCTTTCCTTATTTAGCCACGTCTCCTTTACAAAGTGCTCGTTCCTGATAATTCAGTCAAACAAACGACTACAGAAGAAACGACAACAATGGCTACCTGTCCACCTGTTGTTAACTGTCCGCCAATTGTTGAATGCCCGGATGTTGTTAGTTGTCAGACGGCTGTTAGCTGTCCAACTGTTGCTAGTTGTCCCACAATTCCTGAATGTCAGCCTTGTGGTACTGAATGTCCAGAAATTGACTGTCCGGATGTTGACTGTCCGAGTGTTGCTACCAATATCATACAACCTGGAAATTCAACCGAAAAAGTCGAAATAAAGCCTCAAAATGGACATAGTTTGCCTTCACCTACAGTTGATTGCTACAACGAGGGGACTAAAAAGGATTCAAAGAAAACTTTGCAAATTACTCTCGTTATTGTTGGCTCTATAATATTGTGAGGATTTTAGAAGGATTTCTGGCCAAAAAAATTTTTTTTTAATTTTTAGGCTTCTAATGTTCACCGCTCTTCTCATCTGTCTTTTCGTCAGCAAAAGCAAATAATAAGGAACGGATAGAATTCTGAATAGTTGGATAAATGTATAAAAATTGTTGTGATATTTGTTATTTAATATAGGATGTTCTGTTAATAAATTGTAGTATATTGTATTGTAGTTGATATTGTAATTGTGTAGAATAAATTGTAGTCAAATTTTGATATAACGCTAGTCTGTGATACAGACCAAAATGGAAAACCATAGGGGGACAAAGCTGCTATTTGTGGCAAACGTCTAGCTAGGGACCTAGATATTCCCGGTGACGTGAGAAGCTCAAATCCGTTGTTACTAAAAATACGTTTTTTACAAAAATTCTTATTAATTTTTGCTTTTTTGCCCCTTATGTCGTCATTTTTTTGCAACCTATTTCTTCATTTTTTATCACTTTTTTCTTCATTTTATCAGCAATTTTAAAATTTTATTCAACCTATTTTTAGATAGTAATTAGCTAAAAATCCGATCCCTGTCCATAACCTAAAATTAGCTATCACTCAATCAAATATTCATTTATTTAAATGTTTTTATTGTCAAAATTTGTGACATTAATTAATAAAATAATAGTATTTATAATTATTTTTTAAACAGCTGTCACTTAATCTAATATAAGGAATGTCAAATTGCAACAAAAACACTTTTTTTTCTTTAATTTCATCTTTCGCCCATTTTTTATTTTATATTGATAAATAAAAAATTTTACAGTGGGTCCTTTACTACGGAAGGGACCCCTTTCAATGCCAGCCGTTTTATTACAACAATTACCTCCTCTAAATCGTTGTTCCAAGATAAAGCCTTTCAAAATAAAGTTCAAATTTGCTTAGTCTTTTCAGTTTTTAACCCAAAGTTCGCAGGTTTTTCGGTGTTGTTCTTCGATCTGTCTGAAGAATAATACCTAATACAAATTTCAAAATGAACAAGTTAAACTTTATTTATTTACTTTTCTCCATTTTATTTTATATTATTTTTAAAAATTATGTTAACGCAAGTGAAGGAGTTATTATTTGGAAAGATTGGCATAGGTAAACGCATGTTAAAAAATTCTAATGAAAAAATGTTAAAACTGAAACTACCGTAAATCTTCTAATGGAACCTCATGTGCTTTTATTTTTCGATCCTCCCGTAGAGTGAGCTTATATTGGGTACACCCCAACGTACCGCGAGGCCAACTTGCTTCAGAGCTATAACTCCGTTAAAAATGGTCTAATCCGGGACGCCCTGATATGGTTCGATACAGCGTCCCAGATTCGACTATTTTTAACGAAGTTATAGTTCTGCGGTTATAGCTCGTTATATCTCGCGGTACGTTGGCCTGCTCCCGCTTGTATTGGAGAGTGTGTTCTTTCAGAGGGTGTGGCTCTATACAAGAAGATATACGTATCTGTAAAGTCTCAGCGTGGTTTAAACCTCTATTCATGTTACGTCTTTTAAAGATAAGTTGGATATTTGGTGAAGCCCAAGGGAGACCCATCGTTAAGATGTATATACCGTATAGATCCAAATATAGCCCTGTATTTATAAGGAGTTTCGATTATACTCCTCTTTCTGTTGAAAAATTTAATCAAAATATTTTTTTGTTAAACTAAACGAAAATTTTTAATTAAAATATTTAGAATTCCAACATTTAAATGCTTAAAGGAAAAATACTCAAAAGAATTTGTTTTTGTTTTTGCTAATTATGTTGACACAGGAAAAATTAATTCAGATGCAGAATTAAATATAATAAATGCCAGAACAGCAGGGATTGAAAATATAGATATTATATTTTCCCCTTGTGTTAAGCCTTCTTCTGAGCACGATTTATGTGGAGATGGAAGGTAAAAGAATTAACAGCTTAAAATTTATCTCGGGGTATGGGAGGCGAAATACGGAGACTTTTTGGGAGACTTAATACATATGTATTAAGATTAGGGTTGTTCCCCGTCCCCTTCCCGTCCCCGAAAGTCGAGGAATTTAAGAGATTTTTTTAAAAATCCCCGTCCCCTCCCCCCCTGTCGTGGAACAACCCCAATTAAGATATTAATAGAATCTCGGCCAATTTTCTCGGCCAATTTTCATTTTCATGAAAAATGCAGAAACATGTCAACTGAGATATAAATAGAGCTTTCGATTGATATATAGAACGTATTTTTTGACCGAAAAATAGTTAATTTTCATTTAAATTAACCTTGTCCCTATCTTTATGTCGACGACTGTATGTAAACTTAATGAGTTATGTTTTGCCTTAGATTTTTATTAATTAAGCGCATCAATTACATCCGTACTCGATTATTTAAATAGAATTAATGTAAAATTTGGAAGAGTTTGGATATATATTGCCGATGAAAATGGATGGAATAAAGATAACAAGGCTTCGAATGTCGAGTTTATTGAGGCAAATTTAATTTAGTAAATATAAAAAAAATTTTCTATAATAAAATTCTTCATGTGTATTCCTTTAAAATTTATAATTTAAGGGCATGGTCAACGCTTTAAAAGAAAGAAACCAATTATTTGGATTTATCGCACGTAAAAATCATTGGCAAGAGATTACAGGAAATATTAAAGATTATAATAATACTCCACTCTTATATTTCCATTTTGATGGTAAAAACAATTTTGACGATTATAATGAATATGATTATCAATTTGGTGGATGGAAAAAGCCTACAATGAAGGGATATGAAGATGAAGAAATTTGTGGAGTAACTGTTACTGATATATACCATTCTGTTAAAAAATTAAAGAAAGAATTTCCTTTTGTTTGATAAAAAATTATGATAAAATTTATTTGATGTAGTAAAGCTTTTACTGGGCCGAGAAAGAATTTATGATGTTTGACTTGATAGGTTCTGTACGATATAGAAGGGTCTCAAGAGGCGATGCCTGCCAATTATGACTCCAGAATATGGATAGGCGTGCCTGTGCTATGCTTTTCGAAATGAGGACTATAAGTTTCCTTCAAAAGATTTGCCTTCCAACTAAAGACTAATCGCCTTTACTGCTTATGTCGGTACTTTTACTGGTTATGTCGGCAACCGCAATAGTCCCAGCCTGAATTAAGTACTCCATCCTCTAGTACAGCTCCATTTTTGCATTACCTTATTGGGCTTTATTATATTATATTGTAGTCTATTTTGTAAATTTATGTCTTTGGCACCTATTCTGAATATTTTTCATAAAAAAGTTTTCTACAAAAATTCCTATTAAATTTTTATTTTTTGCCCCCTAATCGACATTTGCAACCTTTTTCTCATTTGCAACCTTTTTCTTCATTTTGTCAGCAATTTTGACATTTTATACAACCTATTTTTAGATAGCTATTTTCTAAAAATCCGATCCCTACCTATAACCTAAAATTAGCTGTCACTAAATCAAATACTCATTTATTTAGATGTTCTTATTATTCACAATTAGTGACATTAATTTATAAAATAGGTAATAGTTATAGAATTAGTATTTAATTATTTTTAAACAGCTGTCACTAAATCGTTTTCTTAAAATAACATAATATAAGGATTGACAAATTGCAACAAAAACACATTTTTAATTCTTTAATTTTCTCCCCTTCTTTCCCGAGCTTATTTTAGATTGATAAATACTAAAATTTTTAAATAGGGGTTTAGGGCACATCGAGTCCTTAACTACGGGAGGATTACCGCCTCCAAATTGTTGTTTCAAGATAGGTAGCTAAAGGCACTTCAAACGTTGTTCCTGTTTTTCCAAATTCTTTGCAGAGTTTTAGGTTTAACCAATATTAATACAGATTTCATAATGAACAACATTAATTTTCTTCCTTTACTTTTCTTCATTTTATTCTTTATGATTTTTAAAAATTATGTTAACGCAAGTGAAGGAGTTATTATTTGGAAAGATTGGCATAGGTAAACGAATGTTAAAAAATTCTAATGAAAAATGTTAATCACGAAACTGTCTGTCGTACAGTCTCGGCTTGGCTTAAACCTCTATTCATGATACGTCTTTTAAAAAGTAGTTGGATATTGGGCGTGGCCAAAGCGGTACCTATAGTTAAGATGGGTTGAGATCACTTTGAGCTTCAACCCCCATGGAATATTTTATAAAGAGATTCGATTATAGTCCCTTTTCTGTTGAAAAATTTAATCAAAATATTTTTTGTTAAAATAAACAAAAATTTTAATTAAAATATTTAGAATTACAACATTTAAATGCTTAAAAGAAAAATACTCAAAAGAATTTGTTATTGTTCCAGCTAATTATATCGATGCAGGAACAGTTAATTTAAATGCAGAATTAAATATAATAAATGCCAGAACAGCAGGGATTGAAAATGTGGATATTTTGTTTTCTCCTTGTGTTAAGCCTTCTCCTGAGTACGATTTATGTGGAGATGGAAGGTAGGAATTCGCTGGCTAAAATTCATATGGTCCTTAGACAGGCATACCTAGTAGTACTTAAACAGAGAAACGGGGACTTTTTTGTGGCTAGGAAATGGGGAACATCTATTAGTAGTACTTAAACAGAGATACCTAGTAGTACTTAAACAGAGAAACGGGGACCCAATCTCTTGGCGGGTACACCCCGATGTACCGCGAGCCCAATGTATCTGGTATGGTTCGATCCGGCTCGACCAGCTGAATCGAACCATACCATGGCGCCGCGGATTCGGCAATTCTGAAGAAAGTTATAGCTCGGCGGTACACTGGCCTGCTCCCCGCCTGGGCATATAAACTTGAAGAGCAATCTTTTGGCTTAGATTTTTATTAATTTGAAATTTTTATTAATTAAGTGCATCAATTACATCCGTACTCGATTATTTAAATAGAATTAATGTAAAATTTGGAAGAGTTTGGTTGTATATTGTCGAGGCAAATGGGTGGGATAAAGAAAACAAGGCTTCGAATGTCGAGTTTATTGAGGTCTAAAAAATTTTTTACCGTCGATATTCCCTTTTAAAATTTTTGATTTAAGGGCATGGTCAACGCTTTAAAAGAAAGAAACCAATTATTTGGATTTATCGCACGTAAAAATCATTGGCAAGAAATTACAGGAAACACTAAAGATTATAACAATATTCCACTTTTATATTTCCATATGGATAGCAAAAACAATTTTAATGATTATTATGAGCATGGTTATCCATTTGGTGGCTGGAGAAGGCCTACAATGAAGGGATATGAAGATGAAGAAATTTGTGGAGCAAAAGTTACTGATATATATTCCGATAAAAAATTAAAGAAAAATCCTCTTGCTTTATAAAATTATGATAAAATTTATTTGATAAAGTAAAGCTTTTACTGGGCCGAGAAAGAATTAATGTTATTTGACCTGATAGGTTCTGTACGGTTTAGTAGGGTCTCAAGAGGCGATGCCTCAAGTATAAGTCCAGAATATTGCGTGAATTAGAGCTTAGAGCTCCACACACCCTGAATTAGAGCTCCATTCTCTATTACAGCTCAACCAGCCCCATGCTTGAGGACTGCCCTATTGAGCTCTATTATAGTAAATACAGTATATTATATTATAGTCTATTTTGTAATTGTGTATAATAAAGTGTACATAGTAGTTTCTATACAAAATCAGGTAGTTTGTAAAAAGCTGCAGATTATTATTATTTTTTCTATTTTTCTTATCCTAAATAGATCTGTTTGAAAAAAGTCAATATTGAAGAGTCATAATTTAAAGTGATCTCCATTTTTATATCCTAAATGAATCTATCTATAATAATATTTATGGGAAAGTTATCCGAACCGAAAATTTCGGATATCCGGATCCAGAAGCGAAAATTTTTACTTTCAAAATTTTGCCTGCAGCGTTCAAAAGTTGAGCCCCAATGGGATACAGAGGGATAAGGAGCAATTAAGAATGAATTTAGTGAATTAACTGACTTTAAGGAATTACAACACATGTTGCATTAATTTGATACATCATTCGAAAAAGCATTGAATACTGTATTAAAAACTATTGTAACCGTCTGGCTACAATAATTTCCCCAAAATTTCAAAACATATGAATAAAATATTAAATTAAATAAGATAAAAGTACAAAGTATTTAGGAGGGAAT